CTCGTGAGGGACACCCGTGGGTCAAAGGCCAAACAAATTTTCTGTCAGATTTACAGGCGGAGCAAGGTTGGTGGCAGTGCAGTAAAAATGTTCAGCACAAGTTCAGCAGAGCAACCCGACCGTGTAGCCTGCAGAGGCCGATGGGACTGGGACAAAGGGTTTTAACTCCAAATAGATCCGTAGCAGCATTTACCATATGGATTTACTGTCAAAATGGCTATAAAGGATGTTCGTAGAGTGGAAAGTGCATGTTGGGCTTCATAAGCATGGGTGTTCTGTATAATTACATTATGATTATGAGTTGGTGTCTACATTAATGAGTGTCTGGAAACCTGCCTTTGACCACAGTGCACCTCTGACTTAGACACAGCCTATTGCTGACCCTGACACTCACACTCATTCACACACACAGATCTGTTAATGGAGTGCTGATGAAGACATGGGTATAGTGTTAACCTATCGCTGACCCTTGCCAGATTTCTCTCATGGGAAAAAGTAACACACATGGATACTCACTCACACACACACACACACACACACACACACACACACGCACACACACACTCGTGCACGACAGAGACTTTTACAGCTGTATTAGTGAAGACCTCTGAATAGTTTTCATACTCAGATAAACCTAAACCTCAGAAACTTGTTGACATAATTAAAGAGACAGTTCACCCAAAAATAAAAATTCTGTCATAATTTACTCACTTTCATGTCATTCTAAACCAATTATTTCCTCCGTCGAACACACAAAAAAGATATTTCAAAGTATGTTGGGGTCAAAACAACACTGGAGCCCACTGACTTCCACTGAATGGCCAAAAATTTTATGTTCCACAGAACAAGAAAAAAAAAGTCATACAGTTTTGGAACGACATGAGAGTAAATGACAGGTTTTCATCTTTGTGTGAAGTATCACTTTAAAAGCAAAACATGATTTGGCCAATTTATAATAATTTCAAATCATTAGAATAACTTCAAATGACCTCACAAGTAAGTTTTTGACATGTTTTACTTTTTGTGAGGACATTTTCAAAAATATGTCCCTCTTTCTTGAATTCTTCTCACAAGAAAAAGATTTTACATTATTTCTAGCTCTCATGTCTATTCTTGACATCACAGCAGAATTAGTAAAGAGGAAGTAACTGGTCACAGAGTAAAGTAAAAGGTCAAAAGTAAAAGGTCACAGAGAAGAGGCCATCTTAGTTCTAAAAATTCCTCATATTGTGGAATATTGCATTTCTTTTTTATTTTTCTAGCTGGCTGGTAACATCAAAATGCAGTTTCACAATCTGAATAAAAAATGTATAGGCTTATGCTCATTTGAGCTGGATACTTGATTCAGTAAGTGCATAAACTACAATCGAAACAAACAAACACAAAAAGTCTGACTTTAAGTCAAGTGACTAAATTCGTTCAGAGAAGAGAAGGAAAGAAAATACGCTGCTCTGGGATACGTTTCCCAAAAGCAACAATGGTCGCAAGTTCCGTCGTTAACAATAGAGTTAAACTTAACTTGCGACTATAGTTCGCTTATGGGAAACTCATCCCAGATCAATCTGAATTCAATGCATACATCAAAGACTGTCATCAAAATGATCAGCTACAATCACCTCAGGACTCGCAAAATTTCTAGGCTGACGTCCCGGGACTATTGTGTCTTTCAGTCGGGCTACCAAAATGTATCACTGTATCAACCTTAAATACAAGGTTCCTGCGGGTGCAAAAAAAAAAAAAGGTAACACATTTTTGATCAAATAAATGCATGCAGCCTTAAGGGTTAGCACTTAAACATTAACATTGCTAGCTCATCACACTAACGTTAATTATCACGCAGCAATCTTAAACAATTAAAATTAATAGAAGCAGTTAAAATTACTAAAGTTTAAATTAAGTAATTAAGTTAAAATCCGTTAATTACGTATAATTACAGACCTCTGGACCGTTTTCTTCATGTTAGCAAGTCCTCTGATAACACAGGCCTAAGTGTTCGCCAACATTACAGTCCAACACAGATCTAAGGAGCAATAATCACATATCTATACTGTCTTTCACATTTCTCATCCAGTAAGAATCTTAGTAACACTAAGAATAAGAAAAAACCTGACCAATAAAATCTCTGTCTCTGTATTAACAAACTGTTGAATGCTTCCTTGGACAATCTATTGAAAATCTTTTCAATAAAATATACAAAAAAAGAGAAAAGGGTTCAAATATATGAGTATTTCATCCATTCGTTCAAACTTAAAAAGGCCATTTCGTCTTAAAAGACCAACTCAGGGTATAAATCTCCTGCTTGTTTTTACATTTCCTGACAAAAAAAAAAGAAAAAAAAAAAAGCTTCTATGGTCACAAATAGTGAAGTTTGGTTTTGTACTGAAATATTTCCTTTGTTTAATGATTAGATTGATGATTCATTGGAGCTACAAAGCCTTACAATGATCAGGAAAGCTTTTTAAGGGTAAAGACCAACAATTCCCGCACAACCACCTTGGGTTAGAGTTTACATCAAAATTCTCAATGTTTGTGTGTTTGTTTATTTGTATATTTGTGCATATCAAATAATGAATGTGTGGTGAGAACCCTTTCTCTTTTTTATTGTCTTCTAGTTAAGCACCCACCACTGTTCTGCTGACTAGTCTGGCCAAACTAAAGACGGGAAACACATTTCCATTGACGTCAAAATGCGAATCCTTCCCACAAACTGTGGTTTTGTAGTAGGATTCTCATAGACCACCATTATTAGAGGTTTTTCGGAAGGGTGATATATAGAAAATAAATATATAAATAATCGATCCTGCATCCAAAAGCCACAACAAAAGGATTCCATTAGAAATAGAACAAAATGATGAAGGAAAACAATGATGCCAAAGTCATTTTCAATTATTGTTAAGAGCAGGAAAAAGTTCACATGGAATGCTGAGGTCCCAAAGGACAAATGGGTGAAACATGCTGTGCTCATCAAATACCAATAAGGGAAGGAACTTCAAATCAATATGGTATGTTAACTAGATGAGCTGAGCAGTACAAGCCAATCTGTTTTTGGCTCAGACCTTCGTCTTGAACAAAGTATTTTAAAAAAGTTAAATCACTTCCAACAACCAGTCTCAAGTTTGTTTGTTTTTTTGACCATGGTCTATGCTGAGATTTGTGTGCGGCCTACAGACATCCACAGAAACTGTAATCACACTGTCTCCAATTGACAGGCTGGCTGATAAGGAGTATTACCAAAAATATAATCTTTTTATGTCACCTGTAACATTCTGAGCTAGAAGGCTAATAAGAAAAGATTGACCTCTATGCTGCTCTGCAGTCCTGCATCCTCTCCTCAACTGCCTATATCTGACCCTCACACCTTGGCAAATCATCTTTCCATCACTCATCATCATCTTGGCATATTTCTAGCCACCTGCTGAGTCTGATCAAGACAGCTCATCACAAGGGGGTTTCATTACAACCAAACTATTTCAAGGCAAATACTCCTCTTTGATCACTGGACTTTTTTGTCTTATGTCAGCACTCTAGAGATGGTGAAAGGTACATGCGAGGGGCCGCCAGGAGTGTTTCGTAGGTGAGCAGGTGGAGTTGGATCTACCATACCACACAAATACTGTACACATGCACATAGTAAACCCCTGAAATCCTACTCCATTTACACCCTGTCAGCCTGCTTCCACCCCAACAGCCCATGAGGTCTGGAATCAGCTTATAAACTCAATAGGGTCCAGTGTTGTTTTGGATCCCAATTCAAAGTATTGACATTTTTAAAAAAATCTATATAAAGTCATACAGGTTTAGGATTGACATGAGGGTGTGCAAATGTTGACAGTATTATTTTCATTTTCAGGAACAAAATGGTCATTAAAAATTACAATTTAAAAAAAATTACAATTTTAAGTTTAGTTACACTGATTTAATTAAACCCAAAAGTTTGGGGTCAGTAAGATTTTTAGGGGCCAAGCACTATCGTGTTTGGTAATCCTTTATTGTTATTATTCCTCCCCAATGGGAGTCTATGGCAGCCCTATGAACCGCAAGTAGGAAAATTATGAAATTTGGCACACTTGTAGTGATGGTCATGAATAAGAACTTGACCAACCTTGGGGTCTCTGGGACCAACTCTATAGCACCACAAGCAGTTCAAAAATCACTTCTAAAATGGTTATAACTTTTGAAACCTTTAATCTAGAAAAATGAAACTTAGTACACCTGATTACACACCTCACGCTGATCACATTCAGTAGCGTACATTAAGACTTAGGGATGTAACGATTTACTCAACTCATGATTCGATTAGAGTCGATTCGATTCACGATTTTGATTTCACAATTCGATTTTCTCACGGTTTTTTTTAACAAAATGAGATTGAAGACATTATACAGTAAATGAAAAGGTGTCGTTTTATTAGGCTATTGCTGCACGTTTCTTTGTGAAATTGAAATATAACAAACCCCAAATCAAACAAGTTACACAAATAAAAAAGAAATCTCTTAATATGAACAAACTAAGGCTTTGTCTGTGCTCTATCCATTTAAAATTAGAGGAAACCACCGGATTTTAATCATGATCCAAACAAAGATGCAGCATACTTGCAGCATGAGTAGTTTTTAATCTAAATTAGACTGTATAATTTCGAAATTCGAAGCAAAAACATAATGGTCTGACTTTAGTTTTGTGAAACTATACAACATGAAACATATCTGAACGAAACAGCAGACGAGCTGAATGAGAAGCAGATTCACTCTCTGACAGCAGGTGGCGCTTATGAACAGCAATGATAAAGTGTTTCCTGGGTTACCGCTGTAAACAAAGCAGAGATGCGCTTATGAACATTACTTTAATATGCATTGTTCAGAGGCAAGATGAAAAGAAAATACCATGTAAACTTTTCTAAAGATAGTCAGTTCTACCAGAAAGACTCGGGAGGTGATAGGATTCGAAATAATTTATTTTACAAAACCAAGACATAAAAAAAACCAGAATTATTTGGCGTAGGCCCCATCCGTAGCTTCAATCCGTAGGTTGAAGATTCAGCTATTACTGCCGAGACGAAGACAGGGGCGGAGCCTACCCCCCGCATGGACAGGGCTAACATGGTGGTGGTGGGGAGGATGGAGGGGAACGTCAATGTCAGTTTCTGCAAACACAAGGAAGGGTGAGTAAAGAGCTTATAAATTTCTCGTGTCGAGTGACGATTGGCTAGATCTAATTGTAATGCGTGATGTAGCATTAAGTCTTCCTAGTAGAACTTGCGCTAAAGCTTCCATTTCTATCAGAAAGACTCGGGATGTGATGAGATTCTAAATAAATTATTTTACAAAACCAAGACATAAACAGAATTCTTTGGTGTAGGCCCCATCCGTAGCTTGAATCTGTAAGTTGAAGATTCAGCTATTACTGCAGAGACGAAGGCAGGGTCTGAGCCTACCCCCAAAAGATATGAAGGAAATTATATACCCAACAGTTGAGTGTTTCTTGGAGGATCCTAGAATATAAAAACAAAAGAAAAGATTATTTAATTTAGTCATAGTTAAGGCAAGTTCAATAAGCGTAAATTTGTACCAGATTAACTTAAGTATAGGTGCTTTATAGAGTAGAGGAGAGGGACCACGATAAGCCACAGAAGAGAGAAGCCACTAAAGGCCACACAGAGACGAGGCCTCGATAGGCCACACAGAGACGAGGCCTCGATAGGCCACACAGAGACGAGGACACAATGGCCGCAGACCAACGGCCTCGATAGGCCACACAGAGACAAGGCCACAATGGCTGCAGACATGATGGCCTTGATAGGCCACAAAGACGAGGCCTCGATAGGCCACACAGAGACAAGGCAACAATGGCCGCAGATACAACAACCTCGATAGGCCACACAGAGACAAGGTCTCGATAGGCCACACAGGGACAAGGTTACGATAGGCCGCAGACACAACGGCTTCGTTAGGCCACACAGAGACAAGGCCATGATGGCCTCGATAGGCCACAGAGAATTTACCTTAAATGTACAGCATTAAATTTTATGAAAGGCAGCATAAATGAAATATTAATAAACACGACTGTAATAGCTATCTTATAACAGGCCACGTTATGCCATTTAACGCAGAAAGACAGTGTAGTTCACATAAGGATAAGGCCATTATAGGTCAATTTTGTGAAGGGCAATGATAGGCAGAGTTACATAAACAATAATAGTCAAACTTACCTGATGGTCACAAAGGCCATATTGAGCGAAAGTCACAAAGGCTGTGTAATGTAAAAGCCTTAATAGGTAATGTAAAGTGAAGGCCCGATGGGCTGCGTAGTGTGAGGGTTCTACGGGCTGGCAATTGCATTGATAGCCTGTGTATGTTTCTATAAGCTATGTAATGTGAAAGCCCTGTGTGTGAATGACCACAATAGGCCATGGTATGTGAAAAGCCATGATAGGTTGGACATGAGCACGTGAGAAGTAACCACCACCAGTAGCTTGCTAAGAGTATCATACTGTACCTTGAGTATTACATGAAATAGTTTTAGAGTCTGATCTTGACGGAACACAGATGCGGAGAACAATCATGTACAGAACAGCTTGATGCGGGTTACAGGGATTCTAAACCACCGCATTGTGTTAGAGATGCCATTAGTTAAGGTTAAATAATAGAGGTAGTATTAGGGTTCTAACAGTGACTAAGAAGAGCATATACACAGATACATAATAAACATTCTTTAGGCTAGACTCCTGCACAGACTAGATAGAACTCCATCTAACTGCCGGAACCCGCAGAGGAAACCTCTCCCCCAAAAATAGAAAAAGCGCCAGATCAGCATGACCATAAGTAGAAGAAATACTCAATGTTATGCGAAGGCCCCGATAGGCCAAAATTCATAAACAGTAATGGACAAACTTACCTGATGACCACCATAGGCAGAGTTATGCGAAGGGTCACAATAATCCGTGTAATGTGAAGGCCACAAGGCCAAGTAAGACCGAAGCCAATAGGTATGAGGGAACATAATGAACCACCACCAGTAGATGCAGAAATAAACAAGCCTTAATTATAGCTTAAAGGTGCCTGCTGAGCATTGAGCCAAATCTTACCTAGACTCGAATGGGAGAATGACCATGTATACGTTGGCTTCATAGAGACTGCATTCATAATAGCGCCAGTCCAAAAGAATGACCTGTGTAAAGATGAGGTGAGAGGCACAGTTCTCTGCATCTGCAGGCATGGAAATCTAAATGACTGCATTGTGATGAAATGGCCAAGGTTAGTAAAGTGATCAAATGTAGTTGTTAAGTTTAAACAAAGCATAAATATGCATAACAAGCATAAATATCAGACCTGTAACAAACAGAACTATTCTCTGGCTTAAATCCAATGAAAGCTTAATAGACTCTTCAGACAAGACTCCATTTAACCAACCCAATAAGTGAACCCTCAGAAAAAACAAATCGCATGAAATACAAGTTAAAGAGATACTAGGGATGTATGGAACTAGAACAAAGATAGAAAAATAAATCTTGTGGTACATTACCCTTGCAGAAGGAAAATAACGTTTTATATTTGAAAACGATGCCTTACTATCTAATTGAACTTTAGATAGCTATTGAATCCTGTAAAATCATAAGGAAAGCCCTTATACACCATTTTTTTTTTTTAATTTTTAAGAAATGTAGTAATTATACGTCCAAGTCCAAGCATTGACAAAGTTGAGCAGGAAATCCAGAGAGGAAGTCATGTCTATTGACGGGAAGTACGTAAAACACATCAGACTATAGACAGGCCTTCACAAGTACAAGTTCCAAGAGAATATAGACTACTTTAACGCTCACCACATAGAAAAAGAGACGTGCCAGCTAGTTATTTAATGGAGCAGACTAATGCCACATAGCTAAGCTAAAGCTAATTATGTTAAATATAGATATGTCCTGAGAAAAGTATAAGAATAATGAGATTAGACAAAACTATAATGCAATTCTTAGTTAGAGTCAATATATTGTGCATCGGGAAAACTTTAATGTTTTGAGCATAGCAAGAAAACGTGTCTGTTTACATTCTTGCTCTTATTTAGAGGATGCTCATGCAGAAATGGACAGAGAGGACCTCTTTGCAGAAATGGGCTACGCAACAGGAGAGACACAAAGTCGTAAAACTTACCCCATTCCGGTACAAGGCATCTAGTGATTGTTGTAGATGCAAATGAAACAATGACTGAAGGAACGAAGACAAAAGCATACGATTAAGACAACAAATACCTTACGGTGTGCTTGAGATAGGGTGTTTTACAGAAAGGTATAATGCGAGCAACAAAGTCTTTATCAGCATAAAGATTGTAAGGCCTATAATAATGAGCCTCAAGATGCCTCATAACAAAAGAGTTGTTCCAAACATTGAATATATTGAATTAGTCTGAGCAAACATCTCGTTAAATATTATAACTTTGGTTGGAAACGGGTTTGTAATGCTCCTCATAGAAGTAAAAGTATTGGAAATATTTTATGGTCTTTCTTGTTTCTATTAAATGTAGGTTAAATGTATCACTGAGCTTGCAAAAATTAATCGTGCAGCATTATGTTAACTATGAATCGTGCACTCTGGACTCAGTACGGTAATCTATAACTTTTTTTTTTTCTCCCAAAAACGCACTAGCAACCTAGGCTCAAATTAGGTTAATTATGCAGTGCTTGTCTGCTAGATTAACCTCATACTTAAACATGTCTTAAACACGTGTGTGTGTGTGTGAATAACCTTACAGAGAATAAAATCTACGCCCAAGCGTCACAAGTGCATAAAACTAATAGAGTAGGCTGATGAAGTGATGAAGACGGAATGCCGAAGGAGACCAGCAGCCCTGTTTCCGACAGCAGGCCCGGAGAGTCTTTGTTCATGCTGGTTCACGCGAGCGTACAGGCGAAATATATTGTTGATTGAGACGCGACAGCTTGGAAAGCACTCGGAATGATGCGGACGTGAACTAAAAAGCTCAGCCAATGTTTCACATCCTCTGCCGTAAAACAACCACAAACATTCACAGCAACACCAGAGCATTATTGCACAATGCCAACGATCTAGCGTGCATCTTGAGAGAAATGTCAAACTCGCAATCGTTCACAGAAGACAAACTTAACTATATGCAAGTAACCCAGGGAAAGTCGGGCAATAAGTCAAGCGACAGCTTGAGCAGGGAACGTCAATGTCAGTTTCTGCAAACACAAGGAAGGGTGAGTAAAGACCTTATATATTTCTCGTGTCGAGTGACGATTGGCTAGATCTAATTGTAATGCGTGACGTAGCATTAAGTCTTCCTAGTAGAACTTGCGCTAAAGCTTCCATTTCCCTTCAGAGATACATTCATACTCCAATTGTATCGCGATTTGTTTGGCATCTTAACCGATTTGAATCGTCACATATTCGAATAGATTTTCGACCGGCTCGCAGTTAATCGTTACATCCCTATTAAGACTCTGCCCATACAGTACCATTTTGAAAAGTACAGCATTGCATTTTTTAGCTACTCCTCCTTCAAAATTTGTCCAATTCTTACGAAAATTGGCTCAGGAGATCTTTGGACCTAGCCGCACAGAATTGAGTGAACATTTTTTGTATTTATCTTTGTTCAAAAGTTATGATATCACGAACTTAACAATGTTGATCTGAAATTGGTTCAGAGGCTGTATCTCGGTCAAACTTTGATCAAACAAAACACAATTTGGTACACTTCTGGGAAGCTGATGCTGGGAACAGCATCACCTACAGGTCATAAGATCTGTAAAACTGACATTTTTGCTAATAACCTTTGAACAGTTTGTCAGAATCATGATCTTGGTGTCAATGGATTCCTTGTATCATGCCGAATCTGTGTATACCAATTTTGCCAGGATCGGATGAACCATATAGCCGCCATTTTGAAATTTATATCTTTTGAATCTTTTGATATATTTGACAGATTAGTACAAAAATTGGTAGGTTACCTGAGAAGTTTCAACGCAGTGCCACCTAGTGTTCCAGAGATCTAAGGATTTTTGCAAAAACGCTTATAACATTTGAAAACATTGTTTAAATTTAACTTTCTCTGTGTCAAAACAATCCTTGGCTTAAGTCGATTCTGATGATGTCTCAATTTTAATTTTCCTTAATTTAGCTTGTCCTCCATTTTGAAGTAAATTAATGTTTTTTTTTAATGTTTTTTTCGCTACTCCTCCAACAAATTTTATCCAAAATGTGATCAGATGATCTTTGGACCAAGTCCTTCGGATGAGACATTAAACCGAGGTCCTGACTCTGTGGTCATTAAAAATCCCAGGATGTCTTTTAAAAAGAGTAGAGGTGTGACCTCGGCATCCTGGCCAAATTTGCCCATTGCCCTCTGACCATCATGCCCTCCTAATCATCCCCATATACTGATTGACTTCATCACTCTGTCTCCTCTCCACCAATAAGCAATAAGCTGGCGTGTGGTGGGCGTTCTGGCGCACTATGGCTGCCGTTGCATCATCCAGGTGGATGCTACACACTGGTGGTTGATGAGGACCCCCAATGTAAAAGCGATTTGAGTGCTTAGAAAAGCACTATATAAATGTAATGAATTATTATAATTATTATTATTATTATGACTGAATGGATTTTTGATATTCGGTACTGTTCCCGAGAAATACTCAGAAGTTCTGTCAGGACCACTATCGTCAAAATGATTGACACTTAGCATACAGTTTGGATTTGGCGGAATGGTTCTGTTTTGGGCAAAACAAAACTCCCTGCCCATCCATGCAGCCTGTCATGAATGAGCAGGGAGAGCAGCAATATGCAAAATGCCCTTATCCAGATAATGTTGTTAGCATTTGAATAACAACATTTAGTAGTGACATTTACACATTGTGCGTTAAGTAACAAGCATGATACAGATACACTATAGCGTTAAGCAACAGCATGTCGCTGACTTAAACACAGCGTGTTGGCAATAATAGTCGGATAAGTTTAAAGACGAGCAATATTTGCCAATATAGCATTAGCAATGAGAAAAAAAAAAGAAACTTAGCTTAGCTTCGTGAAGACATTCAGAGATAAAGGGTGAAATAGCCAGTTGTGACGTGGATGGTTGATCCCCTTCTTGATATCTTACTTCTTCCAGCGGGGAAGGCAGATCTTGTGCAAAGTGTTGTTGATGCGGGTTCGATTCGGGTTCAAGTACTTGAATCTAATGAAAAACTGTGTGGGAAACAAACCCCTCTCGCAAAATTCCTGATTGTACGCTTCTTATAGAGATGGAATTCACTGTCTAATTTGCTTCTGACAAAGCAATAAAGCTGCTGAATAATACTGAATAGACCTTATATAGGAATGCCGTGATAGGCGTTGTATTCCTATAGGTAGATGTGGATCAGCTGAGAGTCAGCTGATGCAAGCTTGACTCACGTGACCTACCAGAACTAATGCTATACGCTTCATTTGACAGCGCCTGTGTTTGTTGACTTATGATTGTTAGCTTAACATGCTAATTGGTTAATATGCTAACCGTTTGCCATTCTTTGTAACGTGACACTTCAGCTATCAGGTTAAGCATAATATATGTTAGCATTATGTTAGCTTAGCATGTTAATCTGGTCAACATGCTAAGTAATGCTTTTGTGTGATCATTCTCACACTAAAAGCTCTCTTTGGCAGCAGGTTGAATGCGCGTCAACTGAGTGGCACACTCTGCTAAAGCACTGGCCCCGAACTGGGTTCGAGTCCAGTGTGTCACATAACATGCAGTGTGTTTATATACAAAATCTTAAGAGTATTTTGTGCTTTTGAGATGCAGATTGTAGGGCTTTTAGATTGTTCAGAGTTATGTGCTTTGATGAAATTGCTGTGATTGTTATGCTTGCTGTACTTGCTGTGCTTTCTCTACTTGCTGCACTACTTGTGCTTGCAGTGCTTGCAGTTGCAGTGGTTGCTATGCTTGCTGCACCTTCGGTGCTTGGCCCTGTATTGTTGAATTTTCAGCAGCCATTACTCTAGTCTTCAGTGTCACATGATCCTTCAGAAATAATTCTAATGTGCTGAAACATTTATTATCAGCAATTATCAATAGAAAACAGCACTGCAAATTATTTTTGTGGAAACAGAGATACCTTTTTTTAAGGATTTTTTGATGAATAGAAAGTTCAAAACAACAGCATTTATGTGAAAACATTTTTTGTAACATTATAAATGTCTTTCTGTCATGACAACTTTCTGAGAGTTTAGCATGGTAATGTACATGACAATGTTAATGTGTTTGGCCTTGGCGAAATAGATCTGAAGAGAGATGATTTCTACTTTTGTTAAAATTATAAATAATTTTGGTATTAAGAAGTTTTGTCTCTGATAAACTGGATTTGTGGACATGAAGTAATCTCTTTACTAATCTCCTTCCATTGTTGTTAAATGTCTGCTACAGATTTCTGTATGAGAGGAATTGGTGAAATATGGTCAGCAGATGTTTACTAGCCACTGGTTTCACAGATCAACTGGGAAACGTAATGTTCCATTGATTTTCAGGTGCTAAACACAATATTTCTTCTGCTGTTTGTGGTATTTTCAGAACTAGGTAGCTACGACAAATTGTAAACACACATAACCTGCAACAAGCAAGCCGCATTATTTTGAATCTTAAGTACCTCATAAAACCAAGCACAAGCAGTCTATGCTAGATAAAATGGGGCTAATATTTTTTATGAAATGTTTGTTTTACTTTAAACATATTTCAGAGGGTTAAAAGAAAGGCAGGGATATTACTGAATAATACAACACAAGAAAGAAATCCTGCAGGGTGCAATTAAACAGCTGGATGGGTAGTTCACATAAAAGATAATATCTGAAAGAATAAATAAGTGAGAGCAAATTCCAACATTTCAGTGGGTCATCACTGAATGTTTCAAGAACATTAGTGAACTTAATGATTTTATTTAATAGACAAACATTGTGTACTATTGATGCCCATTATAATGGTTAGCTTACTGTACATAAATCTCAGAGTAAAATCATAGTAAATGTAAAGAACCTTCCTTCAAACATAACAGATCTACTAGATAAAACTTCCGTTTTCTTAACTTCCCGGTTTATTTTCAGCCTGTTACAATCTTTAACACAAATAACCTTTATTTACAGAGATTATTAGCGGAGCTTTCAGTTAATGATCTTAATATAATTTAACACAGGGAATCGGGCACTGAGGATTTACAAACCCTGTTTTGAGTGAAGCAATGAATGAAAGAAGATAAGTGAAGCAAACAAACGGAATGTTTTAATTATATGGCTCTGATTGGGTCGGTAATGAAACCACAACACAATATTATGGCTGGCAGCAGGTCAAAGCACTGATGACCTAATCCTTGAGAGCTCTGACTTATTTACTTTCCTCCTCCTGTTTCAGGATTTAGGGAGATGGAAATGAGGAGAGCAATGGAGCTGCAGCCATCAGTGCTGTGGACGCCCACTCTTTAGCTTAAGGCCACAGACAGCATGTTTCAACAATAGACAGTTATTCGGTCAAATGATGTCCACAAGTCAGCTTTCTGACATTTGATTCACTTAATATACAGCTCATCCTAAAGGATTCCTCATCAAAACACACTAGGGCCTCTTGATGACGGATTGCAGCGTCACCGTTGACTTGAAGAGAACGTCAGACTTGTGGTCCTGGTTCTTCTCAGCGACCACTCCACAGAACAAATCAGAGATCAGAGAAGAAGGAAATTAGTTTAAAAGGCAGATTCAAAAAGAGGACGGGTTCAGAAATAGCCATGGGAGTCTAATGGAAAAATCAACAGAAGTGGTCTACCAGAAACCATCTAGATGTACAATTAGTGCTTCAACAAAGGTGAGAGGGTTGAGAAATTCCAGTAAAAAAAATAATAAATGACTAAAATGACAAAAAATAAAAAGCAGAAAAAAATTTAAAATTTGCCGATAAGTCTGGAACGTTTTATATGAGTTAATTTAAGGTTTTGTCAAATATCATATTGTTAATGTGTGCAGAATTTTCCTCCATTTAAGATAAAAAGTGAAAATATTACTCTTATGAAACGATTATTTTTAATGAATCAGTCAAATTTACTGTCTGGTTGTTAATATACTATAAAGAAAGATACATATTCACAACAGGTTTTCCGGTGTATAAAATTAATTATGGTATTTTATATTAAATTAATAAAGGTATTCCTTCATTAAAATTTTTACAGAAAGATAGCCTCTCTTCAGTAAGACATGAAGGGTATGAAAGGAGGGAAAGATGAGGGCAGACACTGTACAGCATCACAACCCAAATGTAA